ATATATCACAAGCCATCAAAGAAAGAATCGGAAACCTCGAACTATTGACCTTCCACCAAATCAGAATATTGAATGTCTTGCTCTCATCTTCAAGATCCTCTAAGAGATATTATCTAATTCACATTTTGTATCTTTTACCCCATTTGCAGCTTTCTTTTTTTTCTAATTCCATTCTGAAATCCTCTCTCAACATCAATGAAGGTTCAACATCAAACAGTGACATTCTTTTTCCCGACAAAGAAGGTTGAGAAGGGGGAGAAGGAGGAGGAGGAGGAGCATGAATCCTCGCATAATCATCATACAATGCATACATACATTCTTTAATATATGATGCCCTATCTTTGCCATCAACTACTCCATGCAACTTACAAAGAACATGCTCCACATAACTCAACTTATTCCTAGGATCCAAAACAGAAGCAACAAAAAGAAGAACATTCATATCTTTAATGTTAGCATAGTACTTATCAAACTTCGTTTTCATCATCGTTGCCATAGCTACAAGACCCAAATCTTCACCACTAATCAACTGTTTCAACAAAATCTCAATGTGAACCAGATTGTCAAAGAAAGTATGTGAAGATACAGAGTTAGTCTTCGACACTTTTAATGTGAACTCATGAAATTTTTCAAGAAGGTTAGCTAACCTTCTCACTTCTGCCCAATCAGATGAAGTAGGTACTCCCGGCCCCATATTTTTCTCCCCAGGAACCTTTTTAAGAGTCTCCTTAAAATGTGGTTCGGCAGATTCATACCTTCTAAATGCCCTTTCATACTTCTCAGCAGTTTGCAACATCAAAAAGGTGGAATTCCACCTTGTAGGGACATCTAATACCAAATTCTTAGAAGAATTACACTTTTCAATTTCAGCATATGATTTAAACTTTGAAATTCTTTGAGGAGACTGTCTAATGTACTTAACAACAGCTCTAACTCTATCAACAGATTCATCAATATAATCCAACCCATCCTTAACAACCAGATTCATAATATGAGCAGCGCAACGAACATGCAACCATTTCCCTCCCAAAACACATTTTTCCCAATCACCAAACTGATCTTTCAAGTACTCAATTGCAGCATCATTTGCACAAGCATTATCCATAGATATAGTAAACACAGTATCAATTTTCCAAGCAAGCAAACAGCTTTCAATTGCTTTTCCTATATCTACACCCTTATGACTTGATATTGAGCAAAAATTCAAGATCCTCTTTCTCAAAATCCAATTACTATCAATATAATGAGCAGTGAGACACATGTAATTCATCTTTTGCAACGAAGTCCAACTATCAGTGGTAAAACATATTCTGCCTACAACATTACTAATCTCAGCTTGAATTTTTCCCCTCTCTTTCAAGTACAAGTGATAACAATCATTAGCTATGGTTAGTCTTTTTTTAGGAACATATAAAGGCTGGCAGATTCTCAAAAAATGTAGAAATCCTTTTCTTTCAATAAACTTAAAAGGCAGCTCATCAACTATGATCATATATGCAATAGCTTTTGTAATTTCAGATTCATCAAATCTCCAAGTAGATATGTGCCCTTTTCTGTCACTGTTCCCACCCTCAACAACCAAATTACTTTGACCCAAGTCATGATGTGCTCTATATTTCATGCAAACTTTCAAATGAGCATGCAAGGAACTTGTTCCATGTCTTTTCGTTTCAGCTTGATACTCAGTTTTACAATATCTACATGAAGCTGTTTTCACACCATTTTTATCAAAAACAGTAAAATGAGACCAAACCACGGACCTTTGGCGACCTCTCCTTCTTTTCTTTAGAGATGGCTTTATGCAAGCCTCAGCAGTATCATCTTTAGCCTCTTTTGCCTCTTGGCCCTCTTCCCTGTTTGCCTCTTCCTCGCTTTCATACTCCACATCAATCATCAGTTTATCATCATTTTGAGAAGGTCCAACCACCTCTATCTCTTTCAACTCAATATGTTCAGACATCTAAGATAAAAAAAAATCAAATCATTAGGTTACTGGTTACATCACATGATCAGAAATCGAAAGAAATCCAACAATAAAACTGATAAAGTGATGGTCATCCAAACAGATACAGAAACTTATAATCGGTCATCCAAAGCCAACAAGGAAACAAACATAAACTTCAAAACTGATTTTTTTTTAAGCCTCAAAACAACACAGACTCAAAGAGTTTAAGAAGAAGTAGTACCAACTGCTAGTTACCTTAAAGAAGTAACTCAAAATTTAATCTTTTGAAAAAAAAAAGCAGAAAAATCTTCAATTGATGAAACAAAGTAACAAACGTTCGAAAACCTTCGTAAAAAATGAAAAATATCAGCAGCTAGCAGGCATTACCTCGCTCAATCTGTAAGAAGAGAAGTATCAGGCTATCAGCCTTAAACTTGGCAGTGAAACTCCAAAGTCCAAACAGACTTGTCTCTTTCAGAGTAGCATTCGACTTGCTTTGTTAAATAAGAAACAACCACTTTAAGCATACTGAATAACTAATGAAAAAACAAAAGGGCCTAATACTAATCAATAATCATTACAAGCAGATAGCAAATTAAAAGACATAAAGTACCTCTTTACGAATTGAAAGACTGATCCCGGAATAGATTTCAAACACTCACATAAAGGTATTTGAACTCAAAGGGAGGAGAAAAAAAAAAAAGCAGAGTCGTTTTCCGTCGCGCCGGCCGCCGATAATTCATCAGCAAGTTGCTTCTGGTAAAGGAAATTCACATGTGGTTAATGACAAAAAAAAGTTTAAGGGAGCAAAATTGGATCTGAACTAAAGTTACTAAATCCACTTCAAAATTAGATGGATTCAAATTGCAAATCATACTTGTGCCAATCGTCGCCAAGCAGAGTCGTTTCTTCAGGAGCAAAATCGGAGACGATAAATCATTTGCCAGAAAATTGGGGAACAGATTTGAACTCAGATCGAAGGAAGGTAGGGCGGGGGAGTTTCTAAGGGAAGAGGAAGAACCGAAGAAGAAGGAAGAAAGAAAGAGAAGAGGCAGATGAGGATTTGGGAATTAGGGTTTGGCCGCCGCGGATCTGTGATTGAATTCGAATTTGAGAATTAGGGTTTGGCCGCCGCGAGAGAGAGTCAGAGAGAGGGGAGGGGAAGACGGAAGAATGAAAGAGAAAAAAAAATGTGAAGTGTGAAGCCCTAACCCCTAATCTGTATAAATTATTTTATTATTATTACATTATTTATTCGGGTATCGGGTAATACCCGAATCTTTTTTTCTCACCCGCTACCCGAACCGATTAGACCCCCTCCATTTCAGTTAAGGCCGATTTCATACCCGATCCCCGAAAACCCGAACCGAATGGGCCGAATAAGGAACGGTTCGGTCGGTTAATCGGGTCTACCCGATTAGTTAACACCCCTAGCTAAATGGATCGATTGGAGCTGAACAAGGGGAGGAATCCTTGTTGATGATGTGAAATTGTCTGCAGCTGGATCACAAGTTGATGAACCTTGTAACAGGTAGCCAAAAGAGGAAGAAGAAATTGCAGCTACTCCACTGCAAGGTCTACTGTTGCTGCTGTCAATCAGGAAGAACCAGAGTTGAAATCTTGCTACCAAAGGATGGAATTGTTTCACTATCACTGCAAGTCGTTGCTACTGCAAGTGGAAGAATAGAAAGAAGTATTGTACTCTCTCCATTCACAAATAGATGTCGTTAGAGAGATTTCACAAAGTTTAAAGAGACAATAATTATCTTGTTAAAATACTATAATACCCTCATTTACTCTTAATACAATTGTAGTCCCAATAACATTTAGTTCTAATACAATTCCACATTAAACATCATTTCAATTTTCAATTAAGGGTAGTATTGAAAAAAATTGACAAAACATGTCTCCATTTGTGAGAACGATATCCATTTTGGAATATTTGGTTTTTCTTCCAACGACATTTATTTGTGAATGGAGGGAGTATATGATATTTTAAAATACATAGATCTTATGATCTCATTAATTCTCATTCAATTCGAGCTGACTAAAGTTTAAAATCGTTGGACTATATCCCATACATATAGGGGAATCGAACAATGGCCCAGCGTTTAAGGTTGAGGGCTTTCTGGGAAACGACCCAAGTTCGAATCCCACCGGGGCATGGGTAGAAGGGATTTAGGATGGGACAGGGGGGGAGGGGTTAGGGGTAGAATAGGTAGTCAAAAAAAACATACATGTAGAAAATTGTCTATGCCATTAGGGCCATTTTATAATTTTAGAAAATTAGGGAGGTTAAGTTGTAAGTATTATTTTGTAATGCTGATTTTATCAGTTTAAAGTACGCCATTACTGTTCTGGAAAAACGACCATGAAAGGAATTGTAATATAAACTTCTCCTTCTCCAATTTTTTTCATTTTCTGATTCTCCTTTCTTCCTAATTCACTTTCTCTCCCTCGATTCTTTCTTCAACCTTCTGTTTTTGAAATTCTAAATGCTATTTCTTATTTAATTTTTTGTTTTAAAATTCTAAATCATTAAAAAAATCCATATGCGACGAATTCACCCTTTAAATAACAAATTTATATTTCTTCATTCCCAAATTCTCTGCATAGTATTGAATAGAAAAAAGAAGCAATATTACCCGTGCATTTCATATATTTACTCCTGATGGCCTGATATCGATCAATCAACCATGAGTGTCGTAGATTAGATTGAGATTAACAAATGAAGGAGCGTTTAATTTTTTTCATTTTCTTATTTTGTACTTTAAATTAATAATAATAAATAAACTTTTTTTTTTCTTTGTTGAGAAAGACTATCGGACGAATACATTTTTTTTTTTTTTGTAACGCCGGGAACCCATTAAAAATGGATAAACCCATGTCCACTGCAATAGCTTGCAAATCCCAGTGGGAGGTAAACCATCCTATGCAAACTCGGGTAACAAGCTCGGGTGCGAAATCGATATTGCTTTTCTTTTTTGTTTTTTTTTTTTCTAAATAAAACTCCTCAAAGGAAAGGTCCAAGAAATGGAAAAGAACAGTCCAAATTCCCATGAATTTGGAATCAAAGAGCCCACAGCTCAACACGTCTGCTTTGCTTTTCTGTCTTTCTTTTAGGCCAATCATTGAACAAACACCCTTTTCTATTAAACTCTTTTAATTGTTTTTTTTTTTCAAACTTGGATCAAGACAAACAGAAATACTACAATACTATATTGATAGGTATATCCAGAAGCTGACAACAATTCTTGTAGTGATGATATTACCAGTAGCAAAGCTAGGAACACTTGCCCTGAAGACACTCTGTAAACCCATTGCAAAACGTATCAAGAAAGAAGCTGGCTTCCACCCTCAATTCCGACTAGTCATCACCAATTTAGCCCAGGTCTGATTTCTTCCTCTATCGCTTCCTTAAAGTAGCTGGTGATTCCGGATAGTTCTTTTGCAAAGTTTGGAAGAATAGTCCTTTGTCCGGCTAGTTTGTAAAGTGCTGTTCTTTTTTAATGTGGGGTGCTCGAACTGGTTAATAAATGCCTATATAGAGGAACCCTTTTAAATTCATTAATTCTAGTTTCTTTGGTTGGCAATTGAATTCAATGGATGAATTACTTTTAATTGATGATTTGTGGGCACTTCTCTGGGTTGTTTAGATTTCTAAAATAGTAACTGTTAAAAGGGTGCTTGTTGAAATGCTGTAGTAAAATAGCATTTGGATTTGTTGAAGGTGACAAAATTGTGTTGTTTATATGATGAGAATTCTTACTTACTACTAAGAAATGCTTAATAAGCTCCAACTTGCTGTTAAATGTGTTGTGTTTGATTACACTTAAAACTTATCTCCTGCTGGACCTGATCCTCACACGGAGGAAGAGGATCCTCCATCTGATGGGAATAACTGTTTTGTTTTAAGTTGTATTCACCTTTTGTTTGTGAAGAAATCCAATCACATAAGAGGCTGGAATTTTTTTTACTATATTCAAGCTTCAGCCCTATGCACTGTCATAGTTTGAGTTAGAAATTTTCTCCTGAATGTTAGGCTTGTCAGATTGCATCCTTCTTTGTGATTCAGCACTTGTGTGCAGTGTGGACACATAAGAGTGTAAGGGGCATTCGGCGTGGCCACAACCATCAAATTGTAGTGAGACATCTTTTTCAATCATTCCTTTGTACTGAATTTAAGTATTGGAAAATTTCTGGTACTTCACGTAACTGCTGTGTGAGGAATGAGCCATTAAACATGTTTGTTGTCATGAATATTCCGTTAAAACGTTGAACGTTGGTATGGCTTCTATATGTTGATGTGTAGAGAAGAAGAAAAAGTGCATAACTTGTTGGAACCAAGTCAGTCGGTACTGGCATGTTTACTGCCACCTCTTCTCTTGTGAGAAGAAACTTTTTTTTCAGAGCAAAACTTATTATGTACTTTTCTGATGTTAAATTAGGCGAACCACCGACTTACAACAAAACTCCAGAGGCGAATTTATGGACATGCAACAGATGTCGCAATTCGGCCTCTAAATGAAGAAAAAGCTGTTCAGGCTGCTGCTGATCTTCTGGGCGAACTCTTTGTGTTTACGGTATTTTTAACTTACTTTTCACCTGATAGCTAACTAAGCCTCATCCTTGTTTTCTTCATCAGATTCAGCCATTATACATGTTTGTTTGTTTGACTTATTAACTTGAATGCTTTTCAACCGCAAATGTGGATTTGCATCGACTTTTTGGTTGGGTCTGAACTTGTTCCATAACATGCGGTGATGAATTGTTTCCAGCACACTTATTTAGGGGCTGGGAGGTCCAATTGTTTCTCTATTTTATGTAGGTTCTTGGGGTAATGACATGTCTCCTTATAATGAAAATCAGCTCTTGTTGGTTCTGTTTTGATGGTTCTGGCCAGTCATCCCTTGAGTCCTTAAGATACAACAGAAATATCTCTGCCATATTTTCAAATTGTTTGTGGTTTTAATTCTAAGATCCTCAAAGATACCCGTGTAACATTGTTGAGTTCCTTAAATTGGGGCATACTTCTCCTGCTGGAAAGGAAGATGAATCCTGTAAGCATGATACTTCCCTATATTGTAACATCTTGAAATGATAGTTTATAGCCTTTCAATGGCCTTTTTCATCTTTTGTCTGCGTGTCTTTTTGGGACTGGGGGTGAAGCAAAATGTTTTGAAGTAAGTGGAGGTCACCTGATCCCTCATTTCTCTGTGTGATTAGGTTGCTGGGGCTGCTGTTATTATGGAAGTCCAAAGAAGCTCTAGAGCAGAAGCCAGAAAGGAGGCACTACGTAGACAGGAAATAGAGGTCCATACAACTTTTTTTTCTTTGGTTCCTGTTTGTTTTCTTCATACTTTACTCTCTTCTAAGTGTGTTCTTGACATTTGAGATCAGGTCAATGACATTGCATAAAATCGTCCGGTCTTGCCTTCTGTAACGAGTTTAGTAATACAGGTTTCCATTGAGCATATTTGATCTCTAGTTAGTATTTTAAGGTATATGCCTGGAAATCTTCTCTTGTTGAGTAATATGAATATTTTTCTTGTGAAATTGCATTCATGATCTCTTTGAGGTTCTTGTAATAATCTTTTCAGTTCATGCATCACCTTTTATAAGATCAAAGTCATGAGTGAAAGTGAACTGTTTATGTATTTAGCATAAAACATGTTTGCTGTCTCCTTTGGGTTTTATCCAAAAAGGACCAGATGGAACTACTGTACAATAATATGTTCATGGGCTCGCGAAAATGCGGACTAGTGTGTTTGTATCCTTTACAGGTCTTTTGACTGGTTTCTTGTTTCCTCTTATCCGGTAATTCAATTTGACCTCTCTGAACGTTCAGGAATTGAAGAAAAGAGATGAAGATTTGAACAAAGAAGTGGAAATTCTTAAGCATCAGATTTCGGAACTGGAGCAAGTTGTGAAAGAACGACGACATGGAATTCTCAACTTCAACCTTGGTGGTAGCTCTGATGCGAATATAGTGAAAGCTTGATACAGTACTTTTAGTGTCTTTGAAAACCTTTAGAATGGGCCTATTGATACATAAGAACAAGATCCATGACAACTTCTGAAGTTGGGTATTTCTACATAGTTTTATCAGCTCAAAATGGCTAGAAATTTTGACCCCTTGTCGACTCTAGGCTTATGTCAATTAGGAAACACATTTGTGGTAGAATAATGGAGTACAGCATTACTAATTTCATGTTCATTCTGACCTCTTTCTACTCCTGCCCCGCTGTTTCAGAGCTTCGTTTTCTCTATGTCTGGATAAATTTTTTTTTCTTTTCTTTTGGTGGGGGGGGGGGGCGGTGTTGTCAGGAATGCATGCCTTTAACACTGCATTTTTAATGTCATGAACACGTATTATACATTATCGACAATTTAGAACCGTCAAAATTAGTAAAGCTTGTTATCTTCATTGATCAACGGAGAACCATCTGACATTTCCAGTACAGAGGATTTCATGCGGATTGAATTGAAGAATGAAGTTAACCAAGAAATGCACATAAAGGACCACAGTCTTTGTCATTATCATCCATCTAAGCAGCAAAAAAAGTGTGCAAAACAGAACGAAAGGTTGTGAAGAAAACACAAATTATTAACATTGTGAAGAAGAAAAATTATGGGACAGTACAAAATACAGAGTTACTCCTGAGTACTATTTATTCAAAGGTAGCTTTTGACAAATACTATGCATTTCCTTATTGGAAGAACATACAAAACAAAAATAATAGGCCCTTTTCACAGTGCAAGCACAAAGCATCACGACCAAGAAGTTAACTTCTGCTGGAGGACCAAGAGTTGGCCTCAATCCAGTTGAAAGCAATAGGGCTCAAGAAAGCATCAGGAATGCCAAAGGAGCTGACTAAGGAAAGTGCATGCGGTCTCAGTTCATTGCAAAGTTTTGCAACTTCTTTCCTCACTGCTGCAGCATTATCTGTCGAAAGATACCCGTAGCGCAGGAATGCAGCATCTTCTTCCAAAGTAATCAGGCAATACATGGATCTCAAAAGACCTAATATTCTCTGCAAGAAAGATTCAAAAAAATGTTTCTTGAACTGTCAGTTGATGTCAAATCAAGATGCATTGATCCATGGTGTCCATTCATATGTGCAGAGCTTTAAATGGTGGCTAATTACCTTAACAGAGCCATCTGTGACAGCTGTCTCCGCCTCCATAAAAGTTTGCAAAATTGTGCGATCAGAAAAGGCTCTTCCCAAGTCTTCAGCAAGTTGATGGCTCTGGAAAGAATAAAGGAGTTACATAAAATTATACTTTACACGGTGGGGAGAAAGTAGAGAGGGAGAGGGAGAAGTGACAAAAAACATTTTATTCATGAGAATCTTACCGTTACAAAAGCTTGCTCCTTGCTTTGTCCTTCTGCTTGCCGTTGTGATATATCAGACACAAAACGGTTCAAGAGATCTCGTTCTCTTAAACAAAAGATGCCATACTGTGATCAAATGTGTTCAAGAATTTAATATGTATCAAAAATATATTACTTCCAAGAAAATTTACTAAAAAAGTCTCTACCTGGAAATCAACACTCCTCATGACATCACTTGTAAGCTGAGGCGGTACAACAGGACAAGGTTGGTTCATGTGCTCCAATCCAAGACCCTTAAATGGCTTCCTCTGCTTTGTTGCTGCCACAAATTCTGCTAACAGTGCCTTACTAACCTGGCATAACAAATATGTCCATAAGCTTACAGAATAAGTTACAATTCAACGGGTAAATGAGAAACAATACAATAACAGACCACAAAGTGGATGACATCATTCATGCTGTTTAAGAATTTTAATTAAAACTTACTGAACCATGACATTACCACATAATTTTGACAGCAAAGATTAGACCTATACGATTAAGTTCCTCAAATTCATAAATATATGCCCAGGAAAGGAATCTTCCCGATGAGGAAAACAGAAATGTCTAAGAAACAAGAAAAATTTAACCACATTTTAAAGGGTTAAGAAAGTTGCTCCACAGTCAGATCCCACAACTTCCATAAAAAAAAATCATCATATAACTACAGACCTGTTGCATAAGAACATTGTTGTCACCCTCAAAAGTAGACTGCACATCATATTCACCCTTGAGGTGACCAATACGATTTTCAGTCTTCATACCCTGTCCACCACAAGCTTCACGGCATTCCTGGTTCATTCCAGTAAGAGTTTAGAGATTACGCTTAGTGGAAATAAACTACTACATCAGTTTCAATCCATTTTTGTACCTGAAGAGTTTGCATGTCATGCCAGGTCAAAGCAGCCTTCAGTGCACTAGAAACGATGTGAATCGTTTTGATCAATTGTGGTGTCCTCTTTACAAATAACATCTTCAAGTAGTTAGCGGCAAAGCTCATTGCGTATCTGCAGCACATTAATCATCAACATAAGACTATGATTTGCCTGAACAGAAAATATTCCAGCACCAGGCCTTGAGATGCCTTAGTAACTTACTTAAAGCCAAAATCTGAGACGCAGACTGAACAGACATGAGTTATTATTGGGGGTCCAAGCGAGAACAAAGAATAGGCTAGACTGAAATTTTTTGCAAAATATTGCATTATTACAGCACAAGCTAACAGTTCAAACAAGCACTTCTCATTGTAGTTTGTGAAGAGTTATAAATTCAGCTTAAACCACCCGGTATATCACTAGTTATAGATGCTGGAAACAGCATAAAACAATGGGGGGTGGGGAGAAAGAAAGAAAAGTGGAATATTTTGCAAAACAAAAATACTGAGCCAAAATGAATGCTTATATATCATAATTACAAAAAAAACAAAGAGTGTGAAGCACTTACGTTTTTGCAAGAAGCGGCAGAAGCCTCCGTTGATGACTAGGGTAGTCAAGCAAAAGAACCTCGGGCTCATTAGGTGTGACAGAAAATGCTCTCCTAGTCAATGAGTATCGTACTGCAATTGCTAAGCTAATCTGACAAGGGACAAAAACACAAGTGCAACGTCAGCAGAGAGGAATTTTGATTCAAACATTTCACATTAGATCACTTTTCTATCAGACCATCTAAAAGAGTGGAGTTTTTGACTTGTCTCACCTTTGACTGGTAAATTGCACTAATTGCAATGGTCACGCGTCCTGAAGTCAAAGGAGCCAAGAAAGCAGCGAACCTCTACAAAATAAATCAATTGATTCAATGTTCAATACAATTGTCGCAGCAGATATGTTTGGCGAAGACTTCCTTAAGAGCCGTGTTAGGGTGGGCTCATAAATTTTAGATAATCGCTTGCCTTCTTTCTATACCAGGCATAGCATAGCTGTATTTCTGTACGTCCAGATAACAAATATACCTGATCAGGGTCCTTAATTGCACTCAGATATTTCCCATCCGGAGAGACATCGGCTACAGAGTTTAGCAAATTTTCCCTAGGTATTCTGACATTGTCAAACCTAGAAAACACAGTGGAGGAGAATTCAAGTTTCGGTAACTTTAAATATCTTTGACTCTGCCAGAAAGTTTTAGGTACATCCGAACAAAATTAGCCAGGATTGAGTTACTTACCAGATTCGACCATTGTCCACACCATTTAAACCAATTTTATGACCACAGTCAGCAATACGAACATTAGGGCATACATTCCCATTAGCATCTCTGATTTGGGTAATAAAAGCATGGACTCCTTGATTACTTCCATCAATGTAAAGTTGTGAAAAGACTACTGTATGTGTTGCATGCTGCAAACAGTGAAGGAAACGGTGTAGTTTTTATCATTCAGAGCGAAGAAGAATTACTAATCACACGAGAATCAACGATAAAAATTTGCATAGAACAAAGTAAAAAAGATCATTACATTGGCAGCCCCTCCAATCCAATACTTTTGAGCTGACTCGCAAGGAGTGTTGATGACAAATTCTCCAGAATTCGAATCATAAGTTGTGATTGTTTCAATGCCTCGCACCTAAAAAAGTAAGAAAGACAGAAAAGCTTAATGAATTTCCTACAAACTAAGCAATGATTCTTTTAACAGTCAACCAACTAAACAAACGACTTTGACAAAGTTCACGTACATTACTTCCATGGCCCAACTCTGTCATTGCAAAGCATCCTTTAACCACATAATTTTCTGTGTCCTTCAACCATTTATCATGGTGACGTTTTGTACCAAAAAACTGAATGGCACCACCCCTGCGCTCCGTTAATAAAAAACAGAATCAGTATTTTACTATTCTAATCCTGCAATAACATTTACCAGAATGAAAATCAATGATAAGCATCAAATGTAAAAGAGTAGTTCATGAAGGAAAGCACATTGCCGTCTAAGGACCTACTGTTAGAATAAAACAAACAAAACAAAAAAATGAAATAATCGCAAACAACAGCTTATGGTCTTAAACAATTCTAGCAGTTACACAAAATAGTAAGAGAACTCAGTTCTTAATAGCTTCAACTCGACCTCTACAAAGTAAGGTTTTGGTTCCCTTTGTGTAAAAACAACAAAGATCATACTTCCATATTTCAGTTACATCATTTGTAAGCACAGTCCTTGATGAAGAATAAATTTGAACTAGAAATTTAAGTTGATTGCAATGAGTACTGTGTGTGCGCGCGCGTTTGTGTGTGTTTATGCAGAAATCTTATACTGCCACTTCTTGAATCAGACATACACAATTACACACTATTCCGAAGCCTGTTATGAAACAACCAGCTATCACAAGATAAACAGATTAACCTCTGTTTACAGAACAAAATTAGTGGAGAGTAAGAACATAAATTCTTCTGCAATAAAAAGGGAAGAAAGGTTTAACCACATCATTTGAACAACTCCACAAATAAGAAGTTAACCTATAATGTACTCCATAACTTGTAAAATACTCTAAAACAACGAAAAGAAATGAGAAGACAAATTCCAATATTTACTTTCACCAAAATGATTCATCCAATCAAATATGAAACAACAAATTGTACAAGAAAATCAAAAAAAAAAACCCAACATACCAGAGGAAGAAATGAACCCCAATTTTGATAGCAAGAGAGTGATCAAATATCCCAACAACATCCAAAAGTGCAAACTTTCTCAATTCAGCTTCCGGGCCCTTGGCAGTAAGCCATCCTCGAAACACCCCGTGATCCATAAGGTACTCAATTCTCTTCATGGTCATCTCCCTTTGCTGCTCCATTGTCTGATTGTAATCAGGCAATACAAAAGTCTTTCCACCCTTTTCCTTCGGATTAAACAGCTTACTCTGCAGTATTAGATTATACAACCAATCCCGGTCTTCTATATTATGTCCATCCATCAATTTTCTCATCAAACTCACATCAAAACTCGAGTTGGGCTCAGAAATCTCTGGTGGGGTGTAATTCAAACAGGGTGACGATTGAATGAATGTTGATGGGTTCTTCGGATTATCATCGTTGGGATTCTGATTGAGGTGTCTGCTAAGGACTTTGGTGCGAAAACTAACTTTATCCATTGAAGAAGATTGTGATGAAGATCAAGGAGAACTAGCAGAATGGTTGGGAAAGCTTGGAAGCGAAATTGTAAAGCAAATGAAGAAAAATTTATAGGCCAATCGCCAATGAATCTTAATACGGTATGATTTAAAATTGGATTCAACATTACGGATTATCAGTGGAATGATTAACTGGTGTACGCGCGAAGGTTTAGAGGCGAGCGCGTGGGTTGAGACTTCAAAATTGATTTTTTTCTTCAATAATTCCGTCCAAAAAGAAAAAGAAAAAAGACAATTAAGTTAAGTTTTAAAAAGGAAAAGCAGTTTGCTATCAACGATAAATTGTTAGATGGAAACGAACAATGAGAATATTACTAGTACAGTTCCGGTAAACTTAATGTAATTATAATTTGTTATTTGCAGATATAGTCAATAATTAATAAGATAAAATTATTTAAAGGAATATGAAACAAATACCTAATTATAAATCATCCGAGAATTTGTACTTGAAAAAGAAAATATCTGGAGGATGAAATTATTCTAGAATATGTGGTTTTAAATTTAGAACGATACCGTTTATAAGAAATAATTATTTCAAATATTTCATCAGATTTTATGTTCTCATTACAAAAAATCATGTTTTTATTTGAAACATCTCACTCTTTTTTCCTTTTTTAACTCATGACTTCTTAATAACAAAGTTATAAAAATCTGACCATTAAATAAAAATTAAATATTATACATGCGATTTTGTGACAAATCAATTCATTTGATGATAACTAGCTAGCCAGTTCAATCATTTTTCCTTTTTTTTCCTTGGGTTAAGCCATCTCCATTTTTTTTCCATTAAAAAAGCTCACTTTTTTTTAAGAAAAAAAATAATCTTTTTATAATTCTAAATAATCTCTCACCAACTTATTCATTAAAATTTGAAATAAAAGATTGTTTGAGGAAATTTCTAATCAAATGTTTATCTAATTACAAATATAGGTGAAATTAAATTGAAATAATCTTTTTATAATTCTAAATAATCTCTCACCAACTTATTCATTAAAATTTGAAATAAAAGATTGTTTGAGGAAATTTCTAATCAAATGTTTATCTAATTACAAATGTACGTGAAATTAAATTGAATAAATAAACATAAATTCACTAATAAGATACCAATCTCAAGTAATGAACACGTCTTCTATAAAGTTTTCGTTTGGTTTATGTCAACAAAACATGTGAACAGGGATTAAGTTAATTAGACGGACCAATTAGACAAACAGCTTTTATGAACTGCCATAAAGCGGTCATTTTCGATCCAAAAATATTGAAGTACAGAAGTTTAAAACCAGTACGACGTGGCCGCCACGCGAAACAAAATTGCGTGGTACAATGAGGACGGTGTTAATAATCCAAAATAACAATTCATTTTCGTACGTTTCCAATGCATTTTTTCGGATGTAACAGTTGGACCGACCCAGAAAAGATAGGCTTTAAGTATGGGCTTGAAACTTTCAATTGCTTCGTCGGATTAATTATTCTAGATTTGTGTGCAACCAATCTTATCTGAAACATACTGGTATGTCCTTGGGTTTTTTTTTTCTTTTTTTTTTCAGAGAGTAGTACTAACAAATTCGTGAATCACATAAATGATAGATGATTAACTTGTTCGTTGCAAGAAAAACTTTGCAGTATGGCTGTTTTAATTCAAATTAGATGATAGATGATTAATTAACTAGTTCGCGTTTCAAGAGAAACTTTGCAACAATATGTGGTTTCAAATTAGGAGGAATCGAGTCATAATTAAACTAGTTTAGTTTGTATCTCTTTTAAAATGTTTTAGTTGTTTGCATGAAATCCAGAATAGTTGGATAGTAACCTTAGCCACTGGATGTATATAATATGCAAAAAGAACCAAAAAAAATAATTTTGCAAATAAAATTAGTTTTTCTTCCCCATTAAATGTGTGAAGTAAGAGCTTATTTTTAACTGAGGCAACACTATGCTTGGTTGTGCCTAATAAAGATTAGATCCTTACTACCACATCCTTATGTTTCCTTTTTCTTTTCCTCTCGTTATTTTTCCCCCCTCCCAATAAGGTATCATCATCAATCATCAAAATCCAAAAAACCTCCAAATCCTTCACCCTTGCATACCTTTCCCACTGACTGCTCCGCCTACATCACCATCCACTCCAAACAACCTCCAAATCCTTCACCCATCTTGAGAATTTTGAAGTTAATAGGTTGAACTTGCTTCTTTAAATGAGGGTGATGTACTGATTATGATTAGGATCCACCGGAAAGATTCCGATCTCTTTCATTTGTACCCAGAATCCATGTTCTTCTCATATCTTTCATGGTGACGGTATCTTTGTTAATGGGACAGCAACAAATTTTTTTATACACTATTTGGCATTTTTCTGGTTTGGTTTTGATTAATTCTATTTTCCTTATTTGGTGGATTGAGGTAGAAATTCGTGCAGCAACAAGCCTGGCTGCCCATTTGGATATTCTCTGTTCGCTTGCTTTAATTTAAAATTGTGTGGTCGGAGAGGAAACTGAAAATGTCGATTTGGTTTATAATTGAAAATTTTGAAATTGTGCGGCCGGAGAAGAGAAAGAAAAAGCGAATTTGGTTTGATGCGTGAAAGACTATGGGTTCAAATCAGTTTTTTTTTTTTTTTTTCTTCTTTTCTTTTTGGGCCATTTTTTGGCCGGTGTAAATTGAGGGCTTTTCGTCATTTCATGACTTTCCGGCATTGACCAATTATTTCACCCCGTCATTGTTTCCTAGTTCGTTACAGCCTAATAATAACATGCTTCCAAGACGGAATAGGATTCCGTCATGGCCTTCACATAATTATTTGCGACAACATTAATCTCCAATCCTTCGTATAAAGACCCTCTACGTTCACTCAAATTCTTACAAGTTTGAAACCCTAGAAAGAAAGAAAAAAAATCCAAGCTAGTCGACGATGGATTCCATTAGGGAGAAGATGGGTATGGGGGAGGTGATCTTCAGAGAATCCTGGTTTGAAGGCATCTTGCGGCACCCTTTTGAGCCGCCGGAGGAGGATCACGATCATCATCCAGATTCCACAACAACAACAGCAAATCAGCAGGAAGATCGTCATAATCAAGATCAAGATCAAGGAACAGATGAAATTACCGGAATCAACGTCGCGGCACTGGCGATTTTGCCCCCCGAGCATCAAGCTTATGCACTGCTCTTTCCTACTGCGACTGAAGACGAGTTGGTGATTTTCAGGGATACCATATTTGCGGATGTAGCTGCAGCTGAGAGAGAGGCTTTAAATGATGAACAAAATTCTCTGTGATTTATATGGAGCCATCTCTACTCCGATGTAATCTAGTTAGATTCGAATTTACATTAAAAAAAATATGTATGTGTATTTCGTTATTCTTAAGATTTATAAATGTACCTAGTATTTATAAGTTTTGACTCGTTGGATTTGATTCTAATCTTTTCTTCTTCTTTTTTTTTCTTAGGAACTGTTTGATAATCACTTAATATAGTGACTTAATTTATTTAAATACTTAATGAAATTAAGTATGTTTGATAATTACTACTAAAAAGTCTTAATAAATTAAGTTCTGAACTAATTAAGTACTTATAAATTAAGTACGTTTGATAACTAAAATTTCACTGTCTGAATTAATTAAGTGCGTCTGAATGCCCAGTGCAATCGTGAGCCAGAAAATAAGTGATAGGCCTACCACTTATCACTTAATTTCTGTAATGACTCTTTTTTTTTTCTTTTTTTCTTTTTTTTCCTTTTTTCCTTCGTCCTTATTTCGACGCTTATTTTTACATTGTTTTAAAATTTTTATTTTCTTTAAATGAATTAATTAAGAGTGCTTAAAGTTGAATTTATATTATGAGTATAAAAGATCTCAAACTTTCAAACTCAAATTAAACTAATTCTAATACATGAAATTTGCTAAATAACAAGATATACATATACATGCAATAATCTAAATTTAATTATACATTGATTATTTACCAAGTGTAATAGCTACTTCCATTATATATACCAAAAAGTTATTTTAAAATTATGATTCTATTATTTAGAACAAAATATTAATTATATTTGAGTAATTTAACTAATTCTCAAAATTATCCAATGTAAATGTTGTTTGTTTTTTTAAAAAATAAATAAATAAATTTGTTTTGTGCTAATATTAAACACAAGTTTTAGTGAAACATGCGTTTTGGGTTATAGATTAGTGTAGTAATAATTTCACAATTTGAGTATCTACAATGATTTATGTCACTAGTGGTGTAGTACAATTAATATCACATAAAACTTTATGTCTCACAAAACTAATACCATGTACAAGAATAAAAAGTGTCAAAATAAATTTTCTATTGCATCGATCCTTTGTTTCTTTGGCTGACGAAGAATATTGGGAAAACCTTCTCTCCCTTTTTCATGTAAACTTTTTTCTAGGTAAACACTTTTATGTATTTTAAAATCAATTGTGATCTAACATATTGTATGCTTCTGTTTTTCTTCATTAACTTCATAACTTTTTGATAAAATTAAGTATAAACCTAATCAACATAAAAAAAAAAATTCCCCTATATACAAATGATTATTTTTCAAAAAAAAAAAAATTACTACTCCTTTCTTTGAACATACACGGCTTTTGTCCCCCCTCTTGTGCCACAAGACAAAATTAGTCATATTTTGTTATGAAGAAAACAATTTTTTTAAAAAAAAAATCATGGAATAACTTATAACTCCGACATTTTTATTGTGAAGCCTTAAGATTTTTTATTTTTTTTTTGCCAACAGTATTTTGATACTACTCCAAAAAAAAAACGTTACAAAATATTAGGGAATAAAATGAAGATGCCCCTTAGCAATGGATAAATCAAAAGTTAAATCTCGGAAGTTTTACTTATATGCAGGATTAGACTAGAAAGGTAGTCTAATCCAGAAATCCCTGTGGCCCATAAAAAGGAGGTATAAAATTAAAGTATGGGTAGTGACTCTGCCAAAACAAATTCTAGCATTCACAACAAATTTAGTGTAAAAAGATAAAATTATCCATCTTATAAATCTATCACCATTTCTCCCCCACTCGCTAGCCCTTTTTGCCGGTCCTCCATATTTTCGCCATTGCAATTCAGTCTCCTGCCATTGCCGGCCCTCCATTGCCTCTACCTCTACTATTAATTCAATCCTTTATAACCTATGATTTGTTCTAATCAGCGGGAAGCTCCAAGTCTAATGAAGAAGGCTTTACTTCATAATGGTTAATTTTGGAGAAGCAGTAAGATTGATTCCATTATGTACTAATAAAATTATGATCGAAATCCATCTAATTTAATAGGGATTGCTCACCAGATTGAGAGAGAAAATGGCATGATCTCGGATTACGCAAAAAAGAATATATAAAAATTTATTCAAGACCTGTTACGAACTTGTAATCTTGTATCTATATATTCCAAATTGCTCGTTTGCAGCAATCGACGGCAGCGATGGGAAAAAAAAATTTGCGTGAAAAGGGAGATAAATTTGAGAGGTTTTATTAAAATTATTTTTTGTGTATTGTAGTTCCGAATTTCTACAGCCACGGAATTTTTTAGTTTGTGGGCAAAAATCAGGACGGGAAAAGGAGGAAGATAACGGATAAGCTTACAGGGTAGGCAAAAAGTCGAAGAATGAAATTGTATTTTTCTCCTTTTGTAGTGGTGAGGGGCGGAGGAGGGGACTGGCGGCGAGAAGTGAATAAAACTGTTTTTTGAAGATGGATAATTATGTCATTTCATCTTAAATTTTGCCCTGGATGCTAGAATTTGTTTTGGCAGAATCATTGCCCTCATAAAGTATATAAAACATGACACGTAAGAAAAAACAGACACAAATAAAGAAGTCAGTCCCGCTGCTTCCAACAAGTGTAAGTCCTTTCATTAGGGATACTGACCCTTTGATATGCAGCCTTTAGCGCACGAAGACTGTTAATACCGCACTCTCGTTTCGCGTAGTTAGTTCTTTATTAGAGACCACCAGTTTAACTCCGGCACTTCCAACACGGAGAATACTGAAACATTCATTGCTTTTAGGAGTCACAGATATACCATGACAGAATGCAGTTTCGACCAACTTGGTAGCATCAGTGTGGGACATGTGAGGATTGGATTCCCTAACAGCTGAAACACAATCACGTGAAGCACATCCAGCGTCCGGTAGACAGTTTCCCAATACCATTAACTTGATACAGGGCGGGTCCATCATCGTCCCACCCAGCAATCAGCATTTCTAGTGACGAACCACAAGGATGACGGGACAGAAAGTGAGATAGCAAATTGGATACTTCTACGGCAAAGCTCTTCTCCCACTCTCGCATTTATGAAAATGAGAATCCACAGCCAGTTTACCCATCAAGCATCTGCGATCGAAAATGGTACCTCCACAAATGACGGCAAGCAGGTGCGAATTAAGTGGTATAGAATTATCTGGACATGGACAGGTGGATGGTCGGATTGAATGATCAAGGGATACCATAATCCCTTCACCGTAAATAAAACCCAACGCTGAGGTTCCCTGCTCATCATATTTAGGACGATCAGGTAGGCCGGTTGCCTAAGGGATATTCCTCGAACTGGCCCTGGCCAGCAAGCTACAACTTTGATCGACATGCTTTCTAATTACCCCATCACTTGCGATGAGGAAAACAATGCAAGGTTGGCCACTTTGAGTTACATACTGTTGGGGATGTATCCAGAGGAGAAAACCCGACATGGAGCCCAATAAGTAAGATAAGACCCATCTGAACTCAAAAGCTCAAGCTAATGGGTTCTGAATCAACCTTACTTATTAACTGATTCACATGTCATTATGCATCCGATGTGGGATTCACAATTCTTGCCACATGACCCTCAACAGTCAACACATACGATGTAGCCAAGAAATAGATTACTACTGATACTTCTGCGAGATGCACATCCAGTGGCGAGGGATGCTCCATCCCACCGTGTCCCCGTACCACCCACTTTAAACACGGCGGGACCCAATTCCTCGTGCCACCCGGCGATTAGTACTTCTAGTGACGAGTCGTCAAAGGACCCGGGATAAAGAGCCAGATGTTTTGCCAGCCACCTTGATGCTTGTTCAGCAGAAGCTCTAAACTTTTCCGCGAGTTCAAAATCCTGGCACATCTTATGCAGCATACTGGGCAAACACTGGCGCAGGACATCGGTACCCCCAGAGACGGTGGCAAGCACGTGCGAGTTAAGCTTAGCGGCGTAATCTGGAAATTGATCAAATTCTGGATGATGATGAATAATTAAGATAACCCCTTCATGGTTGAAAGTAAAACCCAATGCTCCTTTTCCCTCTTCTTCATGAACTGGATTGGTTGCCAAAGGGATATTTCTCGAACTCATTGTTCCAACCTTTAGCCCCCTCGCTATTGATTTATGTGGATTGTTGCATTAATTGTACCGACTAGGATCTATTGAATTCCTCGGTCTAAACAAGGTATATATATACAAACAAAAATTCGTCCAAAAAACCAAACCGCAGGGGAAAAGAAAAAAACCCTCTAATAAGATTATTTTTTTGGAAATAAGCGCAATAAAAATAATTTGTCGAATAGATCATATATACTACTAGTTTCCAATTTAAAGAAGGATTAAACCATAGCAGTTTTCGAATCCAAACTGGAGTAAGGAAGGAAGTAAACTCGTACGCTTGTATAAATACCTATCTGAATCAAATTTCAGGCACGTTTCTTCCTTCCTATTAAAGCAGATCATCCTTTTGTATAATATCTCTAAGGTTAACTCTTCCCAATTTTTCTGTTCCTTGATCTTAACTGTGAATCGATTTAGATCATTATTAATCATCAAGAATGACAGCCGGTGGTGAATTCTCCGGTGAACCGGAAACAACCTTTCAATTTCCCGGAATTCATCAACCCCTGAATTTCCAGCCTTTTTACAGTTTCAGCATCAGCCCCTCCTCCATTACCGATGATTCCTCTATGAACGTCTATACTAATCAACCAGAAACCCATACAGCCCCGTCTCCCGATGAATGGGACCAGCCCGATTCCGGCGGCTGGAACGATTGGGACCAAGAATTCGATTCTTCTTTGCCAAACAGTACACTTGGCCGGTTTAATATTTCCCTTGAAGAAGGAACCGTCTCGGTGGACGTTGACGGAGGAGAATCGTTCAACGATGACGGGTTTTTCCGGTTTCAGGAGCTGGTTTCGGTGATGGAAGGATTGGTTCCGGAGGATAGACAAAGGGATTCAAAAACCGTTATGGAATTCTTGAAATCAAGAAGATACGAGAAGAGGGTTCCTGAAGATGATGAAGATTGGTGTGAAGAAATTTGTGCAATTTGTCACGGGGAGTTTGAGGATGAAGAGATTGTGGCGACTCTGCAAAATTGTAAACATGAGTTTCATGGCGATTGCATTACCCAGTGGTTGATCCGGAAGAATGCTTGTCCCCTTTGCAATCAAGATGGACTCAAACTTCCATAAATTTTTTTACTATTTGCAGTTTTCCAAATTTCTGTGTAATTACAAGAATAGTGGTGTATTACGATCTGATGATTATAATTCCCACTAAAGCTTGATGTTAAAAGGTGACCAAACAGGGGAAACAAAATATTTATTGTTTTTTGAAACGGTAAATAATATTTTTCGTTATTTTTTTTTGTTTTTATCATAAGTGATAATCATATTATAAAATTAAAAGAAAGGTGATTTTACTACTATTAGCGTCCTTGATTTTTTTTTTTTCCAGAACATTTGGATGTTTTTTCATCTATTACTTTCTGCATTGAACTATCTTTTGATTTGGCCGCCTACAATGAATGGTGATTTCACTACCCAAAACCCCATCGTTGAAACATTAGTGCATGGAATAAGCTCACCCCGGGAATTTATTCTTTGTTGGAAGCTAAATTACAATCTCAATTCTATAATTAAAGTTATGAGCTTGATCATGTTTCTTTATATGTGTTGTGAAGCAAAATTCACAAGCAGAGCATTTTGGTTTAGCACCAGTCAAAACAGTAAAATGATAAATTGGATATACCAATTACCAACAACGGAAAAAAGGGTTTCTAATTGCTCTTGCTCTTGAAAAATCCTTCTTTTTTTTTTCTTTTGCCTGCTACTGTGATTGAGGCAAAAGCCTACATAAAAAATTCTTGAAACCTTAGAAATCTGGAGGTTAATGGACACGTGATCGGAGTTGAATTCATGGAACCTGTGGATGACGACACTTTACACGTGTATGCAGGGATCTTGGAATCTACCTTGGAGGCACATGAAGATTGTGATCAAGAAAGAGAACAACCGATTAAGAGATTGATTTTCTTGGTTTAGAGGCAGAGAAGAATACAATTAATCAAGCAACAAACCAGCCTCACTTTTTCTAAAAATCCAAGAATCGATGGGAATTTTGAGTAGAATCCATGAAATTTCGAGTATAAAAACTTAAGGTTTGTAGTAAGCTCTTAATTAGAGAGGAAATCTGATTTTATTAATTGTGTCCAAAAACAGAATAATTCCCGGTATTTATTTGATTTGGTTAACCGACATAAGTCACCAGATTTACACATTGGTCTCTAAAGTTCTAGTCAACCAACTAAAAATTTCGAATTGCACAATAGGTGCCAAAGTTGAGTCCTAGAGCGGTTCTCCCTAGGAGTTTTGCTCTGAGTGCCTGTTTCCTTAGAGTCCTTCATGGAATTTACTTCCATGGATTGAATATTCTAGTAATTTGATCTACCGATTCCTTGTTTCCCGATCTATATCGCCTTGATTTTCATACTAGTCAATCATTCCTATTAGCCTTCAAGATTCTTCGTCACGAATCTCTCTTTTCCCATCAACCACGATTTTCTTTCGGCAGTTACCTTATCTTCAAGATCCTTGTTCTTTTATCATGACCATCCTTCTTCCATCTCCCCAGTCGTGTATTTATTCATAATTCACAGCTTTTTTAGCAACTAATTTACATAATAATTTCTGTCTTTTATTTTGTTTTTACAGATCTTATTTGTGCGGTGTTACTCGTGTTAACGATTTTTCATATCCACCATTAACCTGCGGTTGATTTGTGATCGTGTCTATTCCAACTATGGCAACGGAGGAAGAATTGTCGAGTATTATTGGGAGATTGTCTCTAAGGGAAGGGGAAGCAACCAGGCATTCCACTAGTTCCTTGACCGCCACCCGCATAGATCCTTTCCTCACCATCATTGGGAAACTCCACTGTCCAAGGGTGGTTACACATGATTCCATTGCCACTCATTGTAGGAATATATGGTCTCTGCGTCGAGGATTTGCGGTAAGGCCGGTTGGGGAAAATTTGGTTCATTTTAAATTCAACGATCGTATAGATCGGGCTAGGGTTATGCAAGGTGAACCGTGGTTGCTGGGTAGGAAGTATCCTCTTGTCTTACAACCATCCTATGATCTCAGCGCTGATTTTGACTTGTGTCCTTGGTGGATTCATCTGTACAACTGCTCATTGGATCTCATGAATGAAGAGTTTGCCAGGTTTGCCGGTAATTTAATTGGTGAGTTTGTTGAAGTATTCACCGATGCGAATCGCAACTGTATTGGTCGGTTTCTTAGAATCAAATTCAAAATCAGTCTAAAAAAACCCTTGATGAGAGTTCTACAATTCGAGCATGAAGGCCGTGATCTCAATTTCCCTTTGCAGTATGAGAGGTTAGCTGAATGGTGTTACCATTGTGGAATCATCAGCCATGTTGAATCTGGTTGTCCAACTAAACCGCCTAGTGTTGGTAACTCATCCAAATCTCCGGAGTATGGTCCATGGCTTCGAGCGAAAGGTTACTGGAACCCTTTCGTTTCAAAAAGACCAGCAAACGTACTAGATCCGTTCTTTGTTCCTGATGATTCTGATGAAGAAGTGGCTCCATGGAGTGAAAGGCAGTTTCACTGAGTTACAGTACACCCAAATCAAGCAGCAGCCAATCCAAACCCTAACCCTCATAGATCCAGACATAGAACTCACTCACCTTTTGATCCATCACTCTCCAATCTCCCTCACCTTTCTGTTGATCAACCACCTCGACCTAGCCCAACAAGTTCCCTCTACGTTAATCTCACCTTAACCATTGATCCTGGGTCAGATATGCCACCCTCCACGTCCATAACAATTCTGGATTCCAACCCACAAACATCCACTCCCCTGATACCTTCAAGCCCTAATCCCACCCTTGATCCTTCTGAATCTCCCCTCTTAGCCAAACAGAAATTCAAAAGGTAAGGAGAAGATACTCCCTTCTGTGAACCTTCATGATGATCTTGTTCCAGTAAATTTTTCATCCTCTCCCTCCGCCTCACCACCAATTTCCAATACTATAGGGCCTCCATCGTCAAATTCAGTTCCTGATCGAACCTACCACATACTTTCTTCCTCTCCCGATCCTATTTCCACTGATCCTCCCATGCATAATTTGGATTGTGCCTCCACCCCCAAGACCCAACCAACAACAGCCACCACTTCTAAACCGCTCACAACCCTCCTTAGTCCTTTCCTTGTTCCAATTCCTATGATGCTTGACACACCAGCCCGTAAGGCAGCAAGACGTTTCACCATGGCAAGAAAGAAAGTTCTTCGTGATTTTACGGAGAAGACAGAATCTCCAAAACAAGTGAAACGGAAACTAATATCTGATGATTATGCTGAATTTGATTTGCAATCTGTGGAAGTTGAAGTTCTTAGTAAGAAGACCCGATACGAAGCTTCTGTTTCATCAATTTCTTCTCCTGAAAAACAACTTATGGATGGCAGTATGGCGGAGTCTGGTTTATCATGCCAGGCCCGCCCAGCCCAATGAGTATTATAAGTTAGAATTGCCGAGGAATGGGGAGTCCTCGGAAATTCATGGAACTGGATTATGTTGTCCGGAATAAATCCCCCCATCTTATTTTCTTGTGTGAGACTAAGAGTACTCAGAGGCAGTTTGATCGTTTGAAGGATAAGCTTGGAATGTTTGGTGTTGGTATAGCAGCTCATGGTAATTCTAGAGGATTAGCCATGTTATGGAGGAAAGATGTTAATGTTCAGTTTACGTTCCTTCTCGGAACGTTTCATTGATATTAATGTAGAACTACTTGGGGAATCAATTAGGGCCACGGGTATATACAGTGAGCCGAATGCTTCACTCTGCAGAGAAGCTTGGGACTTGTACAATTCTATGTATGATACTTCAAGGAAACCGTGGGTGTTTTTTGGTGATTGCAATGAGGTTTTGTCACAGGAAGAATTTTCCGGTTATCGCTCAAGACCTACTTGCAGATATCAGCCCTCAGGAACTTGCTTGATAGTTTGCAATTAATAGACATGGGGTTCGAAGGGTACCGTTATACTTGGCAACGGCTTATTCAACATCCTCACACCCAAAGAGCTCGTCTTGATCGCGCAACATGCAACCAGGGTTTATACGAGCTGTTTCCTTGGAGCAAAGTTGTGCATGTTCCTTCTTATTGTTCTGATCACATGATCCTGCACATTCAACTTCGGGCTGGCAACTTTACTAATCCAGAAAGACGCCGTCGAAAGAATTTTCGGTTTGAGGCGCATTGGATTAAAACGGATGATTGTACAAAGGTGATAGAGGACAATTGGTGCGATGATCTTACTTCCTTGGGTGCTAAATTGGAGAATGTGCATATAGGACTGATGAATTGGAGCAAATATCATCAATCTGATTTTCAGAAAAGAATAGAAGTGTTGAAAAAGGGGATTCTGTCCATTCAGCGTGGTCGGATTGATGATTCGAGACGATTACATCTCGCTGATCTCGAAAGAGAACTTGACCTATTGTTGGAGCGTGAAAACTTAAAATGGAAGCAGCGAGCCAAGCAACATTGGTATCGGGAAGGAGATCGTAACTCCAAGTTCTTTCATGCTTATGCAAGCAAAAGGAAAGCTATTAACCATATTGCGGGTTTGCGAGATAATTCTGGAGTATTGAGGGAGAGTATTGGTGATTTGGAGAAGATCATAATGGATTACTATGGGAGCCTTTTCACTTAATCTGCCTCTCCAGAATATGAAATTCAAGAGGCACTTCGTCGCTTAATCCCAAAAGTGACGATGGATATGAATGATTATTTAATGCGAGCTTACACGGCGGATGAGGTTATAAAAGCCCTAAAAGAAATGTCATCCTTCAAATCTCCTGGACCAGATGGTATGAGTCCCGTTTTTTTCAAAAAGTTTTGGAATATAGTTGGTGTTGATATTACCTCTTTTGTCCTTAACTTTTTAAATTCTGGAATTTTTGATCGTAAAATGAATTTTACACATATTGTGTTAATACCTAAAGTTAACCAACCAGAATTCATTTCTCAATTCCGCCCAATATCCCTTTGTAATGTTGTTTACAAACTGTGTTCAAAAATGATCTCTAACAGATTACGTACTATCCTTCCTTCTATTATCTCTGATTCCCAGTCTGCTTTTGTTCCGGTTTGTATTATAACTGACAATATTCTTGTTGCTTATGAAACCCATCACCATATGAAATCTCTCACTAAGGGCAAAAAAGGATTAATGTCTATAAAGCTTGACATGAGCAAAGCTTTTGATAGAGTTGAGTGGAATTTCCTTAAATCTATCTTATATGCTCTAGGATTCGGAGAAAAGTTTGTTAGTTTAATTTTTTAATGTATTTCATCAGTTCGTTTCTCCTTTATATTGAATGGTCAACAATTTGGTGATTTAATTCCGGAAAGAGGTATTAGACAAGGCGACCCACTTTCACCTTATCTTTTTATAATTTGTTCAGAGGTTTTTTCGTGTTTGCTTCAAGACTTACAAAGATGTGGTCGTATTTATGGCATTGGAGTTACTCGTCAGGCACCTTCGGTATCTCATTTTTTTTTGCAGACGACACTTTATTGTTTGGTGCAGCATCAGAGGAGGAAGCTGGATATTTGAATTGGGCAATCAAACTCTACGAAAGAGTTTCTGGCCAACAAATAAACTTAGACAAATCTGGCATCTTATTCAGCCCTAATGTCTCATCACAAGACAGATTGGCTATTTGTAACATTTTCGGCATCCCAGAAGTTGAAAGTCACGGGAAGTACCTTGGGCTACCTTCGGTTGTAGGCAGAAACAAACAGGAGATCTTCACCAACATCAAGGATCGGATATGGACAAAAATACAAGGATGGGGTGCCAGAACTTTATCTCGAGCTGGAAAGGAAGTACTTATCAAAGCTGTTCTACAAGCAATACCATCATATGCAATGTCTTGTTTTTTACTGACGGACTCTACTCTTCATGATATTCAGTCACGATGCAGCAACTATTTCTAGGGCGATGCAAGCAGCCAAAGGAAAGTCCACTGGAGCTCCTGGAAGAATTTGTCAAAAAGTAAGAAGGATGGTGGTCTTGGTTTCCGGGATTTAAAAGGGTTCAACTTAGCAATGCTCAGTAAACAAGCATGGCGGTTACTGATGGACCCTCAATCTCTCTTAGCAAGGGTTTTGAAGGCAAAATACTACCCTCAACAGAGTCTATTTGATGCTTCCTTAGGTTCGAGACCATACTGGACTTGGAGGAGCATTTTTGAAGGCCATCAAATTCTTGATTTAGGATGCAGGAAACAAATTGGAAGCGGACGTCAAACCAACATTTGGAGTGACAAATGGCTGCCCTTAGAGCCAACTTTTCGTTCCTCAGTTTCTCAATCAGGAATGGATCATTTGGTCCTTGTTTCTGATCTCTTTAGTGCAGATGGTACGGACTGGAACAGAGATTTGATCCACCATATTTTCCCACAAATAGAAGCTGAATCCATCTTATCCATAGCTATTCCTCATACACGATCATCAGACAGATGGATATGGCATTACACCAAAAATGGTAAGCACACTGTTCGATCAGCATACTACCAGATTTTGAATCATCCACGCTTCTGTTTGAATGGCTCAGAATCAGAAATGCGACCATTAGGAGTCCGTGATCTGGTATGGAGCAATCTCTGGCTTTTGAAGCTTCCACACCGTTTGCTATTGTTCGCTTGGAGGCTGTGCAGCAATAACTTACCTACCCCAGACAACCTCAGACATCGTCAAATGTTCCCGGATGGTACCTGCAGCTTATGTTACCAAAGTGACAATCACAACTGCCACATTTTCTTTGACTGTCCTTTTGCTGTTCAAACTTTTCGAATTTCAGGTCTGTTTGACAAAGTTTAGCTTCATCAGCGTACAAATTGTGAATTATGGGCCAGAGCTTTATTACTTAATCTTCCTGCTTTGGATCGTGAGTTCTGTTTCGCCATTTTAGCCGGAATCTGGCAAGCAAGGAACTTAGCACTTTTTGAGCAGATGAAAACGAGTACGTGGGGGACAGTGTTGCAGGCCAGCAGGGTTGTTCATGATTTCACTTCATCCGCCCTCCATCCAGAAAGGATTGCAGCATCTTTATCAGTATTACCATCTGTAATCAGGCCTGATGGAAATGCGATCAGGGTTTATTTCGATGGTGCTGTCTCTCAATCAAAACAATGTGCAGGTGCTGGTGTCTTTATCACACATTCAGATGGTCATTTTCTGCATGGCTTGGCACGAAACTTTCCTGATGTACAGGACTCAGAATTAGCAGAAACACTTGCTCTGAGGGAGGCTTTGCTGTTATGCTGGAAGATCGGTATTTCAGATGTTAGTATTTTGGGTTATTCTCAAGTCATTATCATTGCAGCTAATGGAGAAATTGATGGACCATCTTCCTGTCAGCCGATTCTTGAAGATATAAAATGGATCTGCCATGATTTTCCTGTCCGTAACCTTGGATGGATTCCACGCCAGGAAAATGTAATTGCCCACTCCTTTTCCAAATTTGCAAACCTTGTGGACTAGTCCACCAAGCTTTGTATCTCAATTGGTGCTGAACCAATTCCAGTGATCTAAATGAAAGTC